TAATTTGAGTTGGTGCGCATTGCTATAATGGCGGAGGTGCACACGAAGTCAAAACACGCACGCATTTGCGGAAAAAAAATGAATCAGCGTTAACATATTATTGCCCCCAGTAATGGCATTATTCCGATTGAAAATGTAAAGCAAATTCTTTTCGGTTTGTGCTTTGTTTAAAAGCTTGTAATTTAATTTTACAATCGCAAATCTGTGCGATTGAGCACACAAACCTGTAAATTAGTAGCCACAATTTGGATTATAAATTGCTTAGAAAATGACGAGTTTGTGCCCTGATTGGGGCACAACATTTTATCTGCTCACCCTCTTCAAATCTACAACAAAGTGAGTCAGCACTAACTGCGTAGTCCTTTTAGCAAGAACATCTTCTTATGCAATTGTCTAGTTTGAGGCTCCTATTGTGTGTTCCGATGTCATTTTCAAGGTCCAAATTCACTAAGCCTGTCTTTAGATCTGGATTGACTATGCTCTACTCAATGTGAATTATTCTACCAATTTTTTGAACAAGTACCTTGATTTGCCTAGTACCACTCAGACTTTGAACTTGAGAGCGACTGAATTTGGTGGTATAAAAGGACGGATCGTCGCATGCGGTGGAGTGCAGACCATCTCAGCTCCAAAATGAGGGCTTCAACCGTTTCGTTCATCTTGCTAGTTGCTGTCATTGCTCAGTCACAGGCATTTTTCACTCTTCTTGACAATGAATTCCTCTCAGATAAGGGACGTCAGCCTTCCAATGCGTTGAAAAAAGAATCACAGGAGTCAGTAGAGATGGAAGCTTTGATGGAGCCTCTTGGTGTGACTCATAACGACATCGTTCTCTTGAGGCGAGATATCACTCTGTTGAAACGAGACATTCTCATTGCTCTTGAACGTCTTCGTCGTACAATGGAACGCCAGTTAAACTTAGGCACTTACTGGCCCTTCAATGTGCGTTTCCCACGTGAACTGAATGCTCACTTTCCAAATTACCCCAGCAGCAGGCAGTAGATGAGACATCTTCATATCCTATGCTTATGTGTTTCTGTTCCTATTTACTTATTTCGGCAATAATGACCCATTCATTAATTGAATGCGACTTAACTTTCTGGATAAGGGAGTAAAACAAGAATTTACAAATTAAATCCGAAATTATTGGAGGAAAACGTAAGACGCCTCATATACTACTCATAAGTATCCACCATGCAATAAGTAGTAGGTAATCACGAATAAGTCAATGTGTCACAAAACCACCTGACGGGCAGCAATGCTTATAAGCCTAGACATAACGACGTGCGATAATGAATTGTTACTTTTGCAGTAAAATGTACAGAAATAATTCATTTTTATGCTGTGGCATAGTCCGAACCTCCTTCAAGCATATCTCCAAACCGAGGTCTTTCCATACATGAATGCTCTTGAATTTCTGGTTAGCAAAGTGCTGGATGACATTTAAATCTCTCAAAGATTGGTAATGTGATCGGTGCACTTAGAATAACTCTCTAGCGAATCGATCAAACAATAAATCTTACCTTTTAATGCAATATTAATGCCAACTAGATCTTCCTTACTTTTTAAGGTTTTTAGAAGTTGTAGATCCCATACCACCAAAAATCACAAGCTTTTAGACATGGAAGTAATTTTGACTTTAATTTACTAATAGAAATCACAAGTGTTTGGCAGTGTATAATGGAGATGCTATCCGACAGGCTACATTCGGCCTCCTGCTTCTACTGAATGGGCATTGGAATTGGGTGTTGCAGACCCATACTCTGGAGACCGGCGTAGTAGGCCTCCTGTTCGTTCATGGTCTGAATATCCATCAACATCTCCATCAAGTCGAGTTGCATCTCATTCAGCTTCTCGCGCTCCTTCATCATGAAGGCGTGCCTTTGACAGTGCGGAGTAGTGCAGCCCTCGCCATGCATTCCCATGTGGGCATGAACAACTGCAATGGTGAGGAGAAGGGCTGAAACGACTGTAATGATGTGGGAGTGCATGGTTGAAACTGCCACGAAGGTTTGATTCAAGTCGATTTAATAGGCGAGAGACAGCCTCGTCTAAGATATATATGGACAATTGGAGGGGTCAAAGTCTGCCTGTGTGCTCCGGAGTTCAAGTAGTTCTTGGGGCCACATGTTCCCATGTTGGAGTAGTGTCTAAGTGACTAATTAAATTCAATGTAACTGAGTAGCGAGTGAAACGGTAAATTGCAGCCTGAGGAATAAAGCCATGGGTTGAAGATGTAGCGAACACGGACAAGGCGAATTGGATAGGGCTTAGCTACACCACCCACCATTGTTGTCGCTAGCCCTTTCAAGGGGTCCACACGCCGATCTCAGCCCTTCAAATCTGTCCAGTGGGTGATAAAGTAGTGAGATAGTCGGGCGGACGGTCGTTCAACTAGGCAGCCGGTCTTCCAGCTGTTTGGTAGACAGTCTGAGTGCACGACCCATTCCGCAAAAAATACCTGACGGTAATCAGGCCCAAACTGACGTTCCAGCGGTGTCAATGGCTCACAGAGAATTATAAGAATGAGTGCAAAATAAATGAAGAGAAATACTGCCATTTACCCGCATTATGTAACCCAGTCTTCGAGTTACGATAAATTTAAAAGGTAATCCTTCAAGGTGTAGACTTGCATCCTTTCCTCAGGTAACCATAAATGTGAATTTAGGTGCCTTGATGTGTAATAAAATGATTTCTAGATCTTCATCCACCCTGCAAGAATGACGGCACAATCCACCACCGCTGTCTCTTTCTACAGCCTATGCTGTCTGTAGTCACTTCATCCTCTTATGTGAATCGTTCCTTTTGCTTTTGTTTAGTTTGTGATTGATTTTTGAGCGGTTACGGGAAGGGCCAAAGGCCAATGCCATCTTGAGCGCATCACAAAGGCTCTTGGAAATACAAAAATCTTGATATTTATGGCTTTTTGAATGAAATTGTTGGAAGGATTACGAAAAAAATTAGGAACAGTTGCATCGTTAGGGCGCATAGCGAGCCGAAAAGATGCCCCTCAACAAACTCTGCCAGTTTCTTGCTCTCCCCATAGCAAATAACAACTAACTCCTCACACTCAGCCCAACCGCAGAAGAGGGAGAGATACTTAATGCTGTATACTCACTCACAAGTGAAGTGGAAACTAATACCTTAGCAGTATTTACCTAGCTATAATAAATAATAAAGCCAAATTTTATTTTGATTCTCGCAACTGAAATTGCTTTTATCCATCTAGTTTTAATTACGTGCACCATTTGGGACTCAATAGCACCGATGCTCCGCCCGTTTGCTCATCACTTAAAGAGGATAAACGACCACTTGATCGTTTACCTAATCGACCCTCTTATTAGCCGACAATGGCTCAATAAAAGTATGTAATAGTGCAGAAAATGGCATTTTAAACATAATCTTGATTCTTAAGCACATTTTATCAGGATGGTCCAACGAATCAGACAAAAGAATAATAATTTCGCAGTATACAGGATATAAATATTTGTGCGAAGCGTACTGCCAAATCTTTAATCTGACTTCTGTTGTCATTAATAAATGGGGCGAATTTGGTTCTAAAGTAAGCAGTGTTAACACGGCAGTAAAAATTGCTCAAGTAAATGTAGAATTGCTGATCCCAAAAATCCCTTATAAACTTGATAAAATACCCCACAAAATTAACCAGACAGCATAAAGGCAGGCAACTGACCATATAAAGTTAATTGCATTACCTTTATGCTAGACGAACTGATGTTTTGCGATCACCTTGGTATTGTCTGACTGGTGTTAGGGCCAAATTAAGGTCTCATATTTTCTTACCCTCTATGTAATACTCTGCTTTTGGAACCGCCTGATGTCAAGCAGTTATTTTACGATTTGTCTGACTCTTTTACGCGTGATCTTGTCTTCAAGCTATGTACTACTAGGAATACATGTGTTCAGTTCCAAGTACAGCTTTTCCTAACAGGTAAGAAGTCTTGGAACGCTACACTCTTAAAATTAGTGCGTTCAAACCAATATTTTACCGCATTCTACCTGGTGGGAAGTTTCAAAGTGCTGTATGCACAAGCTGTAACATTGCAGTAAACCCCGTCTTGTCTAAATCCACCCAGGTGAAACTGTGAAGCCCTAAAGTATAGTAAGCACAGTCTTGGCAGCTATATGAGCAACAGCATAAGTATGGAAAACGGAAATAGTCGTATCGATGGACGACGTACAATTACAATAGAGGTTAATATTGCTTTCAGAATAAATTCCTCGCTAAAAAGTTTTAATTTTTTAAATAAATTATTCTAGTATGTAGATAGAGCCGCAATTGTTTTCTCACGAAATTTTAAGCCGTTTGTCGTTTTAAACATGGACGAAAGGTTGGCTGCATAATACTCCTAAAAACAGAGGAAGATGTCATTGTCGGCTGACTAATCCACGCAAGTTTTCTATGATCATTCGGTTTTATCTGTGCGGTGACTGTATGTTTTAATTTGTCAGCCCCAAATACCACACTGGAGCTAGTTTCAAAACCATTACATAAAACCGCGACATCATTAAATGGGTGAAAGTGAAGAAGTCGAAGTGAGTTTGTTCAACAGTTTTAATAGCTCAGCAACCGGCTGCATTCTCATCCATCGAAGTGGCTGCTGTAATTAAAGACGTAAGTTCTTTTATTGACAATACTTATTAACAGATTGTCGCTGGAACTTTAACAAATAATATTTTTGAGTCGACAAAAATAAGTCCATGGGCGTCTGAAATTACTGAGCAGTGTCTCTACCAGCTAACGAAACTCAATCGTCCATTTAAATACCTTGGTTCATCTGTTCGCATTAACTGACTTATTTCAGTTACCTGTGTGATAATGCAAAAGGATGGTACTAGTCTCTGTACGGGCAGTACGTGTTACTGGGATGCTGCAACAGATGGTATGTACTAAATTAAATAAATACATACAATCTATGTAGGGAACTGCACAATTAAATGGGAAAATGAGTCGATGTACTGCATCGTCACGTGTTTTGGTCTAGCTATATAGCACAAGGATCATTCCCTTTTCTTGACTTTAATTTCCTCCTTTGTTTGCTTTTTCCTTGTAAGGAGAATTTAAGCGAAATGTGTAAATATGCTATGCTGGGCTTGTCGCATTGATTTCTTAGGTGAATAGAGCGTTCTCAAGCTGGCTACTAGAGTAGAACATTAACTTGCTACAACGTCCGCATAATTTTACGACCAGTATACAGGTGCATAGTTGAAACTCCCATCTGAATTGATGCTCAAAGTCAACATAATGATATTGCGAAATTTAAACACCGTTTACCACTGAGATCACAGCTTCAGCGATTGTGAAAAACGTCTGCATCTAAGTTGTCTTGCATCATTCATTAGTGATACGCCATCTCACCCGCCCTCCTACTCCCATCACTTTCTGTAGACAGAAGCTAGTACAACCTTCGTAAAAAGCTGGTCTAGGTTTCCTCAGTCTGATCAACATCAGACTCGTCACTTGACGCT